CTTTGTCCTGGGGTGAATCGATGATCGTCCCGATCTTCAAGAAGGGATCACGCGACGACTGCGCTAACCATCGTGGGATTAGTTTAGTTCCGATAACCACAAAAGTGTTGACTTCTGTGATACTTCACCGCCTGACACCCTTAAGGGAGAGGAATATCCGCGAACAGGAAGCCGCATTCCGACTAGGTCGCGGTTGCATCGACCAAATCATCACTTTGCGTCAAGTCCTCGAACTGCGTCACACACGTCGTCGGCCAACAATCGCAGTGTTCCTTGACCTAAAAGGAGCCAGAAAGGAATGCGGCGGAAGTATGTAAACCTATTGCGGTCATTGTACCTGTTTACTTCTGGTAACGTAAGAGCCTGTGGTGGACTACGTAAATTGTTCAAAACCAAGGGCGGTGTTTGTCAGGGGTACCCTATTTCGCTAATCCTGTTCAATTTCGTCGTAGACGAAGTACTGGAGAACGCACTTATCTGAATGTATCACAAAGGTAAAAAATTTTAACTGAAATTTCTTCAATTACCTCCCTCACCACTTGCATGTTTTTCGATATTCCAGTCCCGTATTTGTTGTAGTCGATCCCCTCCGAAGCAGCAGCTTTTGTATGGCCGCGGCCCCTTTCCTGTATGTTGACTGTACATTTGTATATTCAATAAATAAAAAAGGAAGTAAAAAGCCTTTTATTTATTCACGTGTTCCTGGTTTCCATATCTTTAGCGGAGTGGTTGTCGTCAATGCCCTAAGGAACGGTTAAGTCAATAATCAGAATAACATAGGCTTGGGAGCTACTTATTCCACATACACTAGTCGCATACACAGCTGAAAACCATACATTTATATGACTATGGTGAACACTGCAATGAAAACTGCGAATGTTTTATCAGAGGTCTGTGGTTTTTTCGAGATGCAGATGGAAAAGAAGAGCAACAAATCAAAAACGAAACAGACACAAGTTGCGTTTGCGAAATAAACTTTAGGAGATTCGTAATAGGAGCCCCGAAAGCTGGTCTGCAAAAATATCTGGTGGAGTGAAAGTAGCAGCTACTTCTGGGATCAGCCAAAGACTGTTCCAACGCCGGTGCTTCTTGGTTATTTCCAGTTACTATCTTACTTATGAAGTTTTCACTAGAAACAGTTGAATGAGGAATGGAAACGGCGGAGAGAATAGAGTTGGCTACTTTAAGGGAAAAGAACGGAAATAGTGGTGACGATGGCCCGGTGATAATGTCACCAAATTATCACCTCAGGGACGTGTGTTCGAACCGCACCATCACCGCCTGACTTTCCCCATGACAGCCCTTTGATTGTCCGCTTCCCCCTTCCTGAAAATTATATCATTGTATTCAATAAAAGGAAGTAAAATTAAATAATAAAATAAATAAAAAAATAGTGAATGGTTTGATCATTGAAGGTGATTGTGTTTTGGACAGAGTGTGAATGTAATTTCTTGGAGTAGACGGACCGCTTTCTCAAACGTAACTCTGATGCGATTTATCTTCGAATTGGACAAAACCTATTGCTTTTGCAATCGTTTTATTTTTAGATTGTTGTCCCGAAGCTTCCTAGCAAAGCATGGAAACGACAACTTCCATTCAGGGCTGATGAGGGGCTTTTCGATGAGGAGTTCATTGAAGAGCGTCGTAAAGGACTCGAAGGATTCATCAACAAGTGAGTTGTTTCATCGTTTTGCGGTCTTCATCATATTTTCCTGGAAAAGAACTGCTTTCTTATTTCCGTGTTTATCCTAGGTTTTTAATCACTGCGATGTTTAACGAGGTAGATAGTGAGTGGAAGAACGTCAAATGCGGTCGAACTAAGAAGTTGCATGGTGATATGAAAATCTCACCCAGATTACTCGGTCATTTTAGTCGCGTTATGCTCCCTGGATGAGGCTTTCTGAATCAACGTAACCGGTGGTTAGAAATATTGAGTGATATGACTAACTGTCCCAGACAATGGCGCTCGTGCAGTTTTCTATCTTCATGCC